CGTTTTCTTGCCCCCTCCCTGGGTTAGGTGGGAATCGGGGTCCTAGGTTACAAATTGCCTGAGAAAAGCCACGTGGGGAAGCTTAGATCGGTTTGCTCTCACGAGCCTAGAGAGGGAGGGAGGGGAAAAAACTCATCTCTACTTACCCTCAACCGAAAACTTTGAAAATAAAGACTTGAGAACAAGTGAAAACATGCGTACAGCGAGCATAAAAAGAAACCACAATGGAAGTGTGCTTTTACAGTGATTAAAAAAATCCAGATGCAGCAAATTACCAACATTTCTTATGCGCTAATCATGCAGCAGGTCAACCTCGGTGTCGTTGGAAAAAAAAAAAAAAAAAAAAAAGCTCAGTTTAGCACCAACAAAGACAGTGTTAAAAAATAATTAAAAAAGAAATAATCGGGAAATATTCCATTAGCACCACATTTGCAGGAACTGGAAGTCACTGACGAAGAACAATAACTGCAACTTAAGCAACATTTTTTTGCGGGTTACATTCAAACAAGTAGAAAATCGAGGTCCCTTCGGCTTTATTTAACCCCTCGGTTTTGGAACGAGAGTTCAAAAGAGTCATTAATGGGGACGAGTCTTAATCTGCTCCTTCTGCGGGAGGAAAAGATCTGCGTTTCGTTTGGGACGTTGGTCCGTTTGAGCCAGGGCAAACCGCGCGTTTTCCCTCCGAAGGGAGGCCCCCGTCCCCACCACCACGCAGCAACAGCTCTGCGCCCAGAAAGCTCTTCCAGGAAAAGACGGGACAACGGGCACGGCCCCAGAAAACACGGGAAGTGGACTGGGGTTCGCTCTGATTTTATCCTCCCCCAGGCAACGTTTGGACGCCACTTGTTGTTTCAGGCTCGGGGGGGGGTGTTTGGTTTTTTTGGGGGGGGATGTTTGTTAAAGGTGACTGTCCTCGGAGACCCAGCGCGGACTTGGGCAGGGGAACCCCTCTGTCCCAGCTCCCCCACCGTCTGTCGCTGCCTCCCTTCCGCGCTCGCTCCAGCGGCTGGGGTCGGTTTTTTGGCCCCTCGTCCCTTCCAGCCAGGCCACAGCTGCCCGGAGGATCAACTGCCTCTCCTCAGGAGTCCGACCCTCCGCACTGCCCGCGTGGTGAGCGCAGCAGATGCGGTCAGGCCTGACAGCTGGCTGAAGCAAGTCATGTTCGGATCCCACTTCTTTGTTTTTTTAAAGCCTTAGCATGAGAGGGAATCAAGCTGGCATTAAAAGAGCAATACACTGGGCTCTGAGGGGGAAAAAAAAACAAACGAAAAACAAACTTACTTCAATTAAATGCTTCACTACACAACACTCCAAAGCATTCTATGTTCTCTTACACCACCATCAAGAAACTTCAATGTCCAGTACAGACAACACTACAAGGAAAATTAATGGTTTACATTCGGAGGATGGAATGAACGAACCGCTCCTTACTCCGCTCTACGCCCTGACCACGACCAACTGGCAGGCGGAGACCTGCGAGCACCGGGCCCTGTTGGTGACGTGTTCCCTCCTGACACCGTCGCCCTGCGCCGCGGGGCCGAGCAAAACTCCTTCACCCGAGACGCCCCGTGGTTTTGGCCGAGCCCTTCGGGTCAAGGGCTAACGCTGGCCCAGCGCCGACCGCCGCGAGGCCGCTCTGGCCGCAGCCACCGGGCGCCCCCGCGAGCCTGGTGCTAAAAAAAGGTTCAGTATTGTGGGAAAGGGGAATTGAACGGCAAAAAAAAAACCCCGGCGGCGCAGCACGGCTAACAAAAACCCGCAAAGCCTCTCGAGACGTGGACGTGCGAAGGGACTCGGTCACAACCTGCACAGCACGACGGTGATCTGATCGCTGAGGGGGGCCGGTGAAATGCAGCCCCCCGGGTTTAGGAGTCAATTTGTTCCAGCGTTGCTTTGCCAAACGAGGCAAGGAGTATAAAACCAAAGCAAGGTGGAGGCCACTTTTCTAGGCAAGCAGAGCAAAGTTGTGTCAAGGACTCTGGGCTACGCAGCCCTGCTTAAGGCCTGAGCGCTCAGACTCGAGCCGCTGTAGGAACAGATGAAGGTTCGCTCCTGCACTGCGACAGCTCTCGGTTTTTACTTACTGACACACAAGGCTGCCTCCCTTTAGGAGAGGTAACTTTTAGCTCATTTGCCCTCAGAAATTACTTACGATATTCTTCCGAACGGCGCAAAAGCTGCTTTTATATCTTCAGTGGTGATTTCTGGACTGAGGTCTCCGACAAAGACATGGAAATGGTCTTTTGGGGGAAAAAAAAAAGAGAAAAAAGAACCTTAACGCTTGAAGATGACGCCAGAATGCGCAATCTCATCGAGCACGGCTTTCCAGCTACTATTAAAAACTACCAGAGTTTACTACAAAACAGAATTTACTGCTGTTCCTAACAGATCCTCTGCTTGGCAGCGCTACAAAGTCAGTGATTTTAAGGATACTACAGCGACACACGGCATTTACAGGTTGTCTTTTACAAACCGCTTTTAAGACCAGGCAGCATTTACCGTACAAAGTCTTAAACTATTTTCTTAATGTGCCAAGACTACAGGAAAATCCCTCTCTCCGCACGCTGGCGTTAAGCTCCAGCACGGCAGGAGATCACGAGCAATTAAAAATCTGATCAGCTGAAACGCCCAGCGGTTTTGTTTCGGTTCCCCGAAACGCAGGGCGACCCTCGTTCTACAGCAAGACGTATTTCAACCCAAGCCACAATGTCCAGGGGTAACACTGTAGGTCATGAAGAACAAATCAAAAAAAACAACCAACCCCAAAACCTTGCATTGCAGCAGTTAAAGCCTTTGAGTTCTCAAAAGCCAACAGTTTCGGTTGCCCAGCCAATACACCACGTCAATCTGTGAGAATTTAATCGATGCGAATCCACGTGCGAGTGAACTAAGACTGAAGGCAACAGGACGCAGTAATCCCTTCAGTTTGTACCAGAGCCCTAAAAAACACGCCCCAAAGAGAAACAAAAGTCCTGTATCTACGGCGTCTTCCACTACAGCCAAACACCACGTCACACACCGTCCTGGCAACGCACGGACTCAGCCGTCCTACAGCAGGTACAAAACTCTCGACCTCTCTCGGACGCTGACGTAGTTCAGCCCCGCTGGCCTACAGGAATTCCGAGCTTGCCCAGAAAAGCAGCGATCCGTAGGCTCGCCGGGAGCGACGGAGCCCCGTTTTGGAAACAGCCTAGACACCCCCAAGGAGCCTGCCTGCAGGGGCGCACGCTGCAGCCCCTCAGGGAGCCAACTGTTCTGCCTCGAGAGCAGGGCACAAGGGCGTTTGGGGCTTTTTTTTGGGTTTTTTTTTTACAATTCAATCAGCCCCAGAACTGAACAGTGGACACTAGGTCACTTTCTGATGCGACGGGGGAATGAACGGGAAGGCCTTCCGTAAAAAATAAATTCCTAACGAACCAAAACCCCACACATGGCTTCGGGTGGCTAGTGAATACCCTCGACAGATTTCATTTTATGTTTAAGAAGATACAATTACCTTGTGAACGCTGTGTGTTGACAACGGTACTACCTGATGACAAAGATTAGATTTGTTCTTAAGTTTATTAACACAAACACATTCAATAATATCTTAGGATTACGATCAAAACGTTACTGCATATAATTGTACGATGCTTAGGGTTTATGTTTTAAAAACTACTTGTACAAATCAAACGGGCACTCAAAGCGTAAGCGACACTTACTGCTGGTGTCTTTCTTCTGGCTGCTGGGGGTCGTCGCCCAGTTCACTTTGACCTCCTGCAAACGTCAGTCGCTCACGTTAGATCAAACCCCAACTACGCTCAGATACCTCCAGCGCTTCCTTCTGACGCTACAGGGGCACCGGACGCGCAAGCCGGGGGGGCGAAAGCTCAAGTTTAAGAGACATTTCTCAGGAGAAGGTTCGTTCCTCCAAACTCTTTCACTGATTAAGAGCAAAGAGGGGAAACAGACCTGGGCTGAGGATCTGGTTTGGCTGGGCGGGTTTTTTTGCAGGGGAGGGGAGAGAGGGGCGTTATCCTGACAAGGTCGGCGGAGTTAAAACACCCCTCGTGCCCGCTGTCTCTGAGCCCTCCCAGCTCTGCATCCCCTCCTCCCTCTGCATCCTTCCTACAACACTCTCAACAGCTTTTCTTCTCAGCCGTGCCACGTCAAGACCTCTGCCCAAACGGAGTGCCTAACATCTGCAGCGTCTCCGCTTCGTCTCGAGCGGTATTTCACCCACACCACCTCAGACAGCCTGTTTTTCAACTCCAGCTCACCCTGTAGACATGACAGCTTACCTTACCCATTATCTTCCGGCCATTCATAGCAGCCAGGGCCGCAGCTGCGTGCCGGTGCTCATAGAACTCCACAAAACAGTACGGATCATTTCCAGCTGTCTGAGAGAAGAAACGAGCCAAGGGTTACTGATAAAAACCTCCTCAAACTGTCCCCTCGCCGCTCTACTCAGCTCCTTATTCCTTACATCTAAATGTCTCAAAACGGGCAGCAGGTTCTTTTGCTCCGCCAGGAGCCCCCCGTCAAGGTGCTCACCGTGCGCCAGGAGGCTGCAGTCCTGCTTTCGGAAGGCACGAGTGCGCCAAAGAACTTTTCCCGTCTCATCTGCAACGCCCACGTGTATTAACCTGCTCACTCCCCCTCGCAATATCCACCCACCCTTACATGTAACACGGGGCACGAGGCAGAAATGACGCCCAAAGCACAGGACGGTGATCTCCAGCCTTGCTACATCCCCCTAACGCGGTCACGCCGCCTTTCCAGGGGAATTCTGAAACATGCAAGTTCCAACCCAAAGCCATCAGCTACGGGAAACATGAAAATCGTCGGGCGAAGGCTCTTACATCCATGATCATCTTGCAGTTTTTGCATGGTCCGATCTGGCTGAACAGCTGGAGGATTAGAGCTTCGGTCACATCTCTTGACAGGTTCCCCACGTACCTACAGGATCAAACATAAGGTTAGAAGCCACCCTGAAGCTCCAGCCCGCTCGTTGATAACCGAGCAACAGAGGCCCAAAGTTGCTCCCTCCACACCCGACCCATCGGGTCAGGACGTCGGAATGACGCGTGCGGCAGGACCAGACGCAGAAACGGTTCGGTGAGGTGAGGCGGGCGGTTGTCCTCACCCCCACCCAAGGTCTGGGCTTCTAAACCGGCACCCAAAGCTGAACGGAAAAGCCAGACACGGGCAACTCGAGCCACCACACGGATTTCCACGCAGAGGAACGGCCGCTCCGATGACCGCGCGCGGTCGTCGTGCGCCAAGCGCAGCTGCCCGAGCCGCTCAGCCTGCTGTTCAGCAAGCACATCACCCAAGATTTAGTCAGTTCCTTTTAAAAAAGGACTTATCACCTGAGAGCACTAGAGCTGCCTGAAATAACGAGCGAACGTGCTCAGGTGGGGGCACTCCCCCATCCTCCTCCATTTGAAAGCCTCCTCAAGCACAAACACAACCCGAACCCCTGCTCCCCTCTGGGATTTTGGCAATCTCGGCGACGAAGATCACCCTTGATCCACGGGCGGGGGTTTGTTGTTGTTGTTAAGCCCAAGTCATGGGATTTTTTTAAAAAAAGCACACAGAAACCTCAGCTCCAAAGGTGCGGCGGCACCTTGCCGCGAAGGAACGTTCTGTGGCAAACCGCGGCCTCTGCCACGAGAGCCCCAGCCAAGTCGCGCTGCTGAGGGCACGGCCATACATCAGCGATCCTCCCCGTCCCCGCGCAAGACTTGCAAAGATGTTGTAAGAAAACAACAGGGCAGCAAACCCAGGGACTTCTCGCGCTCCTGCTGTTGACACGGGGCTGTGAACCGCCTTCCTGAAGAGATGGCCCCACTCCAATATTTGGTTTAGCAGAGAGAACGGGGGAAACAAGACACACGGCCTCTGTTTTTCTACCAGAAGCGACCCAGCAAGCTCCGTATTAATAGTTTGAACGACTATTTTAGGTAGGACCCAGAACCATTCTCCTTTTTAAAACCAACACGTGCTTCACCAGAATCGGATCGTCACAGGCCTCCTCTCGCTCAACGAAACAAGTATATTATATGTAAGTGAGTAATTCCTGCACTTCTGACGAGGTCTCCTTCAAGAGAAGAAGGTTTAGTGCACTTCATTAAGGTAATTCACTTAGTGCTCGATAACACCGGGACATTCTACCCCGCAGCAAGTTCAACCGAGAGTCATAACTTAGCGAGGCTTCTTTTTTCCTCTTTTAAAAAAAATATTATCGCCATTTGGGTAAGGAATAAGCCGAGGCACTAAAGCGCTGAGGCTCTCACGTCACCTTCTAGGTCTAAGTTTATTAACAGTTGATTTGTGACCGCAGGGTTCCTAGGCAGGGTGTCGGCACCCTGCCCTTTGCACTCCCGCTGGATTTTCACCCCGATAATCAGCCAGGCGTCTCCTGAAGCGCTCCCTACGCCGAAAGACTGGATTTAGCTGGAAAAGGCAGGATTTAGGTAAGCGATCTCTGACAGCCCCATGAATCTCTGCATGGCCAGACCTTGCAAAAGGCTTCCTCAAAGGAGCAACCGCAGCAAGATACCTGTGTGCATACACAGAGAGAGAGAGAGGACGTGTAACCGTGCACCAGGTGTTGACCTTCTTGCTTCCGCCCAAAGGTGAACCCAAATCTCAGCTCCTCAGGCACAGACACGGACAAGACATCCCTGAGCGGCCACACAAGCAGTAACGACACACGGCACAAGAGCGTTCTGCGAAACTCTAAAAAAAAAAAAAGGAAGGGGAATCGTAAAGCACGTAAGAGGAACAGCTTAGCATCGTACAACTCCGCAGCGTTTCCCTCGTGTTATCTGTCAGCGTCGCCTCCTCACCCGTAGCTGCGCGCTCTCTGCAGCCCGCCAGCCTGGAGAGCTTTCTCCAGCCCACCAGCCGACAAACTGCAGCAAAGTCTTGTGAGACGATGAACCGTGCCAAGACGGAGGGGAAAAACACAGAGCTGTGACACCCCCCCGCCCCCCCGAGCGCCCACCCCTCTGGTGTTTTCTCTGACGTCCTCTCTCCGTGCTACACTCGAGCTGTTTGACCACCCGAGCTTTTCCACGGAGCTTGGCTGCGGCTCTCCCGCCGCGCAGCCGGCAGGGCGAGCGGGACGGACCTTGCCCTGGACCAGCTGTGCGAGACGTGACCGAGCGGTCCTCACCACCCGGCGGGGTCGCTCGGCGCTAAGATGGGTGGAGATGTCCCCGGCATGACAGCTCTGTCGCCCCCTGCACCTTTCCCACCCCTCTCTTTCCTGCTAACTGGATTCTCAAACTTGAAACACACGTATCGCACGAGCACTGACGGACTTACACGAAAAATACGCACAAGAGGTCTTTGTAAATTCAAAAACACTGCCTGCCTTGTTTTTTTTCTGCCGTTGAAGAGTGGCTTTCAAGGAAGGCCGCTGGCCACGTGAAAACGAGCTGCCTATCCAGGAAATCATTTACATAAGTAACACAGCTCCTAACGTGCTTCGAAACGCCACGGCTCTAACACCCACCTTCTGCCAAACAGGTTACGTGGAAATGGCAAAAGCAAGAACTTACTTCCAGCAACATCTGGAATCTGTTCCAGAAAAATGACTTAAAACGCGGTAAAGGAACCGAAGAAAAAGGCGCGCGCGCCGCAGACCGCTTTGGTGACCCCTCACGACGCAGCGAGACCATGCAGCCGGAGGGGGAGCCCCGTAACCCAGGCCCAGATGGGGCTTCTGCAGCTCTACCTACAGAAACCCTCGTGCAAGCAAATATTTAACACGCGCTGCAGAGCCGAGCTGGAAGGAGATTACTTTTAGCTGCTTTTCCTTCCCTCAAGCTGCTCGTTCTAAACCCGATCTGGGAAATCCAGCTCGTGCCGCTCCTCCACACGACTTGAGAAAGTCACTCGGAGCCATTCAGAGAAATAGGGTTCTCGGTGCGTTGCTCAACACTCCGTTCTGCAGCCCAGAAGCCTGGCTGTGTTTGTGCAACGAGCCCCACGTGCTCAAGGACAGGCAACTCGTTCCCTCCAGCAGACGCCACGTACGGCCGAGACCACTAGACTCCAGACAATCGTTTCATTGGGCCGGGGCGGGGGGACGACACACACAAACATTTTTCTAAATAAATATGCAAATATGCCAACAGGTCTGTCCCATGTTTGCAGGCGCCCAGAATAGTCCCAAACACGCACGCACGAGGAAGACAACGGGATTGTACACACGGAGTGTTTACCGCTCTGGGAAGCCTGGACCAGAGGAGCTGGCCTAAGTCACGTAAGAGTCTTGTTTTCCTGCAGTCACTTGGCCAAGTCATTTATCAACCCTTGGGGTAGGCGCAGCCACCATCCAAGGGGAAAACTTTCCCCTCGCTTTGGAAAGATTCCCTCTCCCTCCTGCCTTTCCTCCTCCCAACTCCTGCACTGAAACAGAGATCAAAGCTCAGGCGGAGATGGAAGAGAAAGACTGGAGGCTGTGATTTCCCTCATCTAAACGAGGGAAACCACTCCAGATTGTGCCTGCCAGAGAAAAGGAGCGAAACGGACAAATAAGCTGCGCACGGGAGCTCTCCTGCGCCTTTCACACGCAGCCAGCTGCAGGAGCAACAGCCGAGCGAAAGTCCAAATCCCTCTTGACAGCGACGGGTGTCAGCTGCCTGAGCACGGCCAGGAAAGTTGCTTGTAATTAAAGGAACTCCATTTATGATTGTAACAAGGCGAAGAGCTGCCCTACAGCCACGATTAGTTCCTCGGGAAGTAACAGGCTCGCAGCGTGCTTT